GCACTCTTTCCCTCACTTTTTTCCCTACTCTGATTTGTGTATTTCAATTCTTGCAGAGTTTCAGCGTGCAGATGAGCCCCAGCCTCCAAAACAAGACGAGGAAACAATGGTCAGTCATGTGTTCTTCCCCTTTTCTGTTCTTTATTTCATTTCTATATCATTTTGATTCTCACATCATTATTAATTGATGGCTCCAAAAAGTACTGAATAACAGCTGTCCAGTTCATCATTCACATCTTATATTCTCCATCCTTTGACCTCTCTAATCTTTTTGACCCTCTTCTTCTGCTTCTCTTCGTATGTCCCCCTCCCCTTTCTGCTGTCCGACCCCCTCTTTCTGTTGCTCTCTTTTCTTCCTCTGTTTGTGGCTTTCTGTCGTCATTCTGTATGTTCGTGTGTGGTTGTGTGTGTTTGCCTCTATTCGTCTGCGTGTCTTTGTACGTGTATGATGGTGGCTTGTGGTCAGTCTCTGCAGGACACCAGCCAGTATGTGTTGAGTGAGCTGGCAGCATTGGAGACAGAACAGAAGCACATCGACAGCAGAGCTGCAGTGGTGGAGAGACGACTGCGAAGTCTCATGGAAACAGGTGAGTCACTTAATTAAACCTCTGATAAGCAAGAAGTGAACGGTGCAGAATTCACTAAGCAGATTTAATCCAATGGACTTTTGCATTGATTAAGTGGTTGCAGTTATGTGTCATCACTGGATTACTCCTGTTTTCTCTTCCCTATCCCCTGGTCATAGCAGGTGGCTGCCCCTCCCTGAACATTGTTCTGTTAATAATAATAATAATAAAATAATAATAATAATATATTGTATTAATAGGCACCTTTCAGGGCACTCAAGGACATCTTACAATCAATGAAATAACAAAATCGAGTATATGGCGATTAAAAACACATCAGAGAATGAAAAAGTTTCAAAGACGAGCTGACAATCGTCTGAAAGCTCTAACTGGGGTCTAACAGAGGATGGTGGAGGTGGAGGATCCCAGAGTGGAGTAGAGCAAGCTGTGACAATGTGCAGAAGATCGGTGAGATACAGAGGTGCAGGGTTATGGAGAGACTTGAAAGTAAGAAGATGAATCTTAGAATTAATGCAGTATTTTGCAGGAAGTAGTAGAAGGACAGGATTTATATATTTTACTGAAGGAGTTCAGGAGCAGGCCTGTGTTAGAGGTCTCTTCTTGTCAAAAGGGAGTTCTTCCTCTCCAACATCACCGAGTGCTTGTAAGAGGGGAAGGTGGCACTATAAGACGCCAAAAAATATACATGTAAATGCATAAAAAGATGAACTAAATTGAACCGAACCTTAAATCTCCTGACCTGCATGCAGATGAATACCCTCCTCAGCCATGATGCTAACCTGCCTTCTACTTGTGATTATAATGAAGTAAATTCCAGATCCAGCTCTGTCTAGTTTACACTTTTTTTTGTTGTTAAATAGTATCTTGCATGTGGATCTTTATGTTTAATGATCTTTATCTTTATCTGTATTCAAATATTCACAAGCTTTCATGTCTTTTCTCTGCTGTTGCAGGAAGTGACCGTGATGAAGAGGAGAGACTGATCCAGGAGTGGTTCACTCTGGTAAACAAGAAGAACGCTCTGATCCGCAGACAAGACAACCTGGAACTGCTGTAAGACCTCCCACATATCAGTATACACATACTCATATACGTATATTTTACATTTGTTTTAAACCGACTTGTTCTTAACTGCATCTATAGACAAGAGGAGCAGGATCTGGAGAGGAGATTTGACCTTCTGACCAGAGAACTGCGCGTAATCATGGCTATTGAAGGTCATTAAAGTAGTGGAAACAAGTAATCTGTACAATATCAGTCAAAATGATTTACAGATAATAATACAAATCTAAATGGTAAAAAAAAATTAAAACACAATGAATTTGATCTTTTTGAGTGCTGCTTTTTGTGCAGACTGGCAGAAGTCACCCGCTCAGCAGCAGAGGGAGCAGCTGCTCCTCCAGGAGCTGGTGTCTTTGGTCAACCAAAGGGACGAGATCATCAGGGATATCGACACCAAGGAGAGACGGTCAGTATATGTAGGGTTATGTGAAAGAGACAAAGTGGGTTACAGGAAGATTATACATCCAAAAAACAAAAGAGATTAGTTTGTTATTTGGATCTTTATGCCTATCTATGATAGAGGGGTGCAGATATCCATGAGCTCAGCACCGTACCGTGCTTTTGTGTTTGCAGGGCCTTGGAGGAGGATGAGCGTCTGGAGCGTGGTCTCGAAATGAGGAGGAGAAAATACAGCAACAAAGAAAAATGTGTGTTACAGTGAGACGAGTGAGGACAAGCACAAACGGCTTTTACTCCAAAGCCCCAAAAGAGTACTTTTTTTAAAAATAGAAAGCTGTTTTTTAAGGATGCTGGGGCTCTGTATTTTCTTGTATTTAAAGTGCCTTGAGGACTGCTCTGAGTTTGACACTGCAAAACATATGTCATCTTCTCTGATAAAAAAAAAAAAAGAAATTCAAGTGTTCATTATTTTAAGTGTGTCTTAATATATAAGTATTGATTGATTCTTTTCACCTATTTTTATTTATTTAAATTATGTATCTGACTGTTTTACATCTATTGCACATTTGCTTTTTGTGTGTTTCTGTTTCTAATCTGTGACTTTCAGTATTCAAACACTGGCTTACCCTCCATTGTGAAAAACGAGGCCAAAATATTTGCAGCCTTGAGGGGAAGTTTAGTTTACAGTTGTTTGTAATCTGCAGGTTTCTAGTAATGTCACCCTACTTGTCACTTCCCCGAGGAAAAAGTCCATAAACACGCCCGAGCATTTTGGATATCAAAATAGTATGTGGTAAGTCATGAGCTGGACTCGAATGCCCAATGTTGTTAGCGGAGGATACGTGTTTTCAGATTCAGGATGACCCCCTGCAGCCTCATGGAGCTCAAAGATGTTTCCAGCCTAAAGTTACACCTTGGTAACTTGCAGTCTTTGTGGATGTGATTGCTCACGTCTGCAATATTCACAGAAATCAAAGTGCTTTCCATTTCTGTGTCGACTACTGCATGCATGCTTATGGAGGTGTGCTAATAAAGTGGCACTGTGCTCCACAGCACCACTATGTATTCATACTGTAGCTGCGTATAATGAATCGAGGATGTTTGTGATGATGAAAATAAAAACATATCGGCTGGTTGCTCATCTGTCATGACTGTTTTCGTCACTTAGTCTTCATCACACTTCATAGATTATGTAACCCAGGGCAGTAACTGTAATATGATCCTAATGTATAATCGTAACATGCTAAAATCACCCTGTGCACATAATAGCATAAAGGCATTGGACGCTACAAAAATATCCCCTAATGTGATGCTGCAGTGATCACAAAACAGACATTGCTGGATAGTGATCAATACAGCTGAAATCTAAATTTAACAACACTTCAGGGTAAATATCTGTTTTTACCTTGCTTGGTGTGTCTCAAATGAGGTTTGGTAATGCATCTCCAACTGGCAATCCAGCTGTGAGGAAATTACTTAAATTGTTAAGCCAAAGACGTCAAACTCATTTTACATCATGGGCCACATACAGCCCACTAGGGTTAAGTTGGTTGGACCAGTGTAGAGAAGCTTAACTACACATGTGATCTCTGAGATATCTTAACATAAGAAGGGGGGAAAGTGTAATTTTAACAGTTTTAACAGTGTACAGTTATTTCCCAGACTGCCCTGTAATTATAAAACAGAAAGCTATTGTTTATGCATAAAAAACAACCTTTTTCTTTTAGTTAAAAGGCCAAAATGTATGCTCTTCTTTAAAGTTTCCAAAGTTGTCCAGTGGGCCAGCTTTGACCGTCTGCCAATAAGTGATTTCCAGTATTTATGATTGGCGGTATTTAAACGGTTGTAAATGACTTGTTGGCCTTTAATATGTAAAACATATGTCAAATATATCTCTTGTGAATGGGATCGAGCCACTTTAAGCCAGAAAGATCATTTCTGCCACAGAGTAGAAGCTGCAATCAGTTTCTGGCAATTATTTATGCTTTATTTATGAATATGATACTCTCATTAACATAAAAAAATGTCTTTCTCAGAAGAGATCTGGCAAAGAGGGAAGCAACAACCATAACATAACAGTTGTATAAATATATTTTAAGTGCCAAAAACGATTGGATTGATTATAATGTAGAACACAGAAGAACAATAACGCAGAGTCATAAAGATTCTTACAAAACATGTAATTTCTTTATTTTATTTATAAGACCTTCGTAAATCCTGCTGACTGCAGACTATCAATATAACCAAAGATATTGATGAATTAAAATGTGAATATATACACTTAACTATATATTTTTGGCATTGTATAATCTATTTGACGTGTAGACTGATACTGATAAATCAGCTAACAAAAATCAGTTTAATAAAAGAAATTATAAGTCAGAGCCACTGTTTAGTACTACTGCACGAACACAGCAAAGAGCAAATGTAAACTGATGCAGCCCCAAAAGATCTTAATAGAGGCATGAAAATCGTTTTCTGTATGCGATTGGATGTAAGGTGCAGAATAACGATCTCCAGCATGTCCCTGGTGGTCTAGTGGTTAGGATTCGGCGCTCTCACCGCCGCGGCCCGGGTTCGATTCCCGGTCAGGGAACTAGCCTTTTCGTGTTCTATGATGGCTACATGTTTGTTTTCCAATTACACAACTACTTCTACTGGCACGGAGAGGCTAAGCTTCACCTGTTTTTGTTTTTTTTTTTTTTTTATCTCTGACCCTAGTATAAAAATATTGAGTCATAACCAAAACTGAATATTTACTGTTATGTATTATGTTTGTTTGCACGTAGTCTTGTTTACACTCGTACCGTTTACCTGAATGAGCTTGTTTTTTGCGTGCAGTTACTGGACTTCATAGAGCATTAGAGCTAATCAGCTAATCACCAGGACTCACTAATCTGAAATAACTGACAGGATCGAGCCGATCCAAAGCGGGGTGAACCTGCACTCCTTTGTTAGCCGCCGCTTAGCTGGAGAACCAGCTGAAGTTGTGATTGCAAACCCTCACGTTTGTCATGCAGGTAGAGAACACCCACCCGAGGTGTTTCCTGGGTTTGCTGAGCTGCCTATTCTTGGCTGGTCTCTACGTTGGCAGTTTGTACGTCTGGAGAAGCAGCTCACCAAGGTATACAGCTCACCAACAGGCATGAGAGAAGTGCTGTTAGGCCAGACAACTAAACTTAAACTGTGCGTGCAGGGATCATCCCAGTGTGATAAAGCGTCGCTGTGCTAGTGTGCTGCTGGTCTCTGTAGTGTCACCTGCAGTTGTGAAGACATGGATACACTGGGTTGATGTCAAGGTGAGTATACTGTAGATAGTAACATTTCCCCTGGAGGATTTACCTTGTGACCCGACAAGTTTCAGCACTATGAGTTTAACTCAACTCTGTGACAATTTAAACTCCACCTATCGTTCAATTCTGTATCTGTTTGTTTATTTGTCCCGATTGTTACCTTTGTAAAGGATCTTTTCCATCAGTAATCTATACCAATCAAATCAAATCTGTGATTACTGCTCATCTAAAATTAAATGTTATGAACAATATTCCCAAAAGTATTTGCTTTTTTTTCTTCAAACTCAACTTGAACTTGAAATATCCGTAAGGTTTAATGTGATGTTGCTATGATGTAGCTATAACAGCTTCAACTTTTCTGGGAAGGCTTTCCACAGAAGAAGTGTTTATGGGAATTTTTGACCATTCTTCCATCCCAAAGGTGTTCCATCAGTTTGAGGTCAGGACTCTGTGTAAGCCAGTTAAGTTTTTCCCCACCAAGCTTGCTCATCCATGTCATTATGGACTTTGCTTTGTGCACTGGTGCGCAGTCCTGTTGGAGCAGGAAGGAGTCACCCTCGTCCCCAAACTCTTCCTATAAAGTTGGGAGCATGAAAATGTCTTGATATGCTGAAGCATTAAGAGTTCCTTTCACTGGAACTAAGGGGCTCAGCCCAACTGAAAAACAACCCCAGACTATAATCCCCCCTTCACCAAACTTTACACTTGGCGCAATGCAGTCAGACAACCACCAAACCCAGACCCATCGGATTGTCCATCATCCACAGAGCACGTCGCTATTGCTCTGGAGTCCAGTGGCGGAGTGCTTAACACCACTGTATATGACACTTTGCATTATTCTTGGTGATGTGAGGCTTGGATGCAGCTGCTCGGCCATGGAAACCCATTCAATGAAACTCTCTCCACACTGTTCTTGAGCTAATCTGAAGGCCACATGAAGTTCGGTGACTCGTTTCACTTCAGTGACTCGTTTAAACGTCATTCTCACGGTTTCTAAAACACATTTTGCCCTTCAGGCGGACGTGTCTGTGTGGGAGTTGATGGGACTTCGCATGGACGGTTTGGTTGCTGCATCCATATTACCTTTATTACTTACTATGGTAAGTCAGGGGATCCCATATCTGATTAACTTGATTCTGCATTCAAAATATTAATATAAATTTTGTTTAGCATACATTTGTAACATTTTGCTTCATTAGAGATGGAAAAGAATAGTACCGATTTCAAATTGCTTAACTGAGGGCACAAATATCTCTGAAGTTTTATATGTAGCGCACATTAAATACTTACAGATGAAAACCCAGGATTTATTTACATTTACATCATTAACATAAGATTTGTCAGAAATGAAGAAAACCATAGTCAATGAGTTTTTCAGTAGCTTCAAACAGTAATCTGTAGATCCCGTTTCTCTCATACAGCAATATATTTATGCTTAGCTGAGGCATGCTTGACATTTCAGAGATTTATTTTCATTCCTGCTAAGCGTGGCCTCAGCTTAGCTTTGCAACTTCCATTAAATGTCTACGTTCTGCAGTAATATCCCCATGGGCGAGTTTAAACCACACACTGACAAATGTACCCTGTAGTTTCCAGTTTAATCTTTTTTTTTTAAATTTACATCCTCTAGATTTTATAAACAACTGGTTTTACTCTCCCACGTCAGGTTTTTTATCTCGGCCCACTGGTTCACTCCGCTATAGACAACCCCAAAGGCTTCACCGGGGAAATGCAGTGTGCACTGGGTACGTTTGTCTCTATAATAACTGAATGTTATGTTGGGTTAACTGGAATCAGAGAGCTGCACATGTGTGCTTTCATGCACTTCTCCCAGATGTTCAGTCATGGAGGCGGTGTGCGGGGGACGCAGTGTGGCTCAGAAACCAGGTGGTGGCACCAGTGACAGAGGAGCTGGTGTTCAGAGGGGCCATGCTTCCTATGTTGGTGCCCTGCACGGGACCCACAGGCGCTATCGTCACCGCTCCACTGTTCTTTGGAGTTGGTATGTGAAAAAGTTTTCAAACAGAAAAAAAAAACATATTTGCATATATTTGAACTATTTCAGATTAAATTTTAACACCAAGTTCGAGAGACTTCTTCTTCTCCCAGCAGTTCCTACATCCATGAACGCTCTCTGTGATCTTCCTCTTTTCCTCCTGCCTGGCAGCTCCATATTCACCCTCTTTTGTCCAATCCAGTCGCCACCCTTCCTCTGCACCAAGGAGGAGAGAATAATAAATGTTGCATTTTGTGCCTCATTTTTTCTTCCAAATCTATGTTTGCAAGTGTTACATTACATTTGGTTTGACTGCCTTTAATGTCAACTGCCTCATTTTAGCTCATTTCCACCATGTCATAGAGGAGCGACGCCTTGGGAAAGAGAGCATGAGTGTCATCCTTCTGGTGGCAGGTCAGTTAGCTGAAAAGGCAAACCATGTTGTCATGATCAGAGCAAGGTGACTCATTTCTTTTAGCTTGATTTTGATCATCTTTATGTGACATGGACTGATAAAACTAAAACTGAGCACTTTGATCGCATCTTTTTTTCTCTCACAGGGATGCAGTTCTTGTACACAACTGTTTTTGGTGCTTTTACTGCCTTTATATTCATGAGAACTGGTAAGATATGTGATCTATACGATAATTTGGTCACTCATTAGCCTACGATAATCAACCCATTTCATCTGAAATCTTTGTTTTGTTTTGTTTTTTTTTAAGGGCATGTTGTCGGTCCAGTTTTGTGCCATTCATTTTGCAACAGTCAGGGCCTGCCTGACATCCGCTCTGCCCTGCAACACCCTCACAGTTCAGCTCTGCTCTTCTCATATCTGATGGGAGGCCTGCTGTTTCTGGTGCTGCTCTTCCCGCTGACAGACCAGTACTTTTATGGTCCCATTCCCATCTGCAGCCTGGCTCCCCCTCCAGGGTCGGTTTGCTGAATGAAATCGAATTAAGTTAAATGCGCTCCAGCTCTCCTTCTTTTACTCTGGATTTCATTTTGTGATGTAAAAAGTTGCTGTTTTTTTTTCTTTTTAACAAAACTAAAAATCTATGCGTGTATATATGTCTATGCGTGGGTGGGTCAGCATGAGAGCAGAATGATTAGAGCAGTTTAGACATTTCCTGCATGGTTAAAAATATTTCCTACTGTATTGAAACTCAATGCCAGTACAACTTTCCCCGGTTAAAAGGGAGAAAAAGAGGTGTGTGTGTGTGTGTGTGTGTGTGTGTGTGTGTGTGTGTGTGTGTGTGTGTGTGTGTGTGTGTGTGTGTGTGTGTGTGTGTGTGTGTGTGTGTGTGTGTGGCTGAGAAAAAAAACACATGCAGACAGAGCGATGGAGACAGACACAAACACAGACGATGTTGCCAGAAAATACACAAAGGGAACCAAAGTGAGAGGCACAACTAAAACGTGTGCTATTAGGACAAATAAGGCTATGACAGTCAGGCTGTAGCAGTAAATACAGAAAGAAGTGAGGGAAAATGGTTGGAGTGGGCAGAGAAAAGGAAAGAGGAGAAATGTAAAGGAAAAGTGGAGCGGGAAGAAGCTTAAAGTATTTCCCCAGGGAAACTGAAAATGTGAAGTAGCAGAGATGAGGGAGAGGAGGTCATTCAGGGTCTGTGGAAATGGTTAAAGGTTGCATTGGACAATTAAGATTTATGAGTCAGACAGATGTTTACAAATTAAAACAGTGGGGGTAAAGTCACGCATGTTTCTGCACATGTACTACATGCATATCTTAGCTGTTCTTCAGTCAGTAAACTCTGGTCTTGACTAAAGTTTTTTTTGAATCCCATTTCAACTGGTAAGGTTTTCTTTAAGCCTTTATTAGATGGAAAAGGAGAAAAGTGGGGGAAATGACACGCAGGAGATGGTCTGTGGCAGATATGAACACAAACAGCCTTTGGCATACGGGCTGCCTGTTTAACCACATGTACAGACGCTCCTGCAGCAAAAAAAGATCAGATTTTTGTAGTGTTCCTCTGCACACCACCACAGTGGATTTTAAATCAAACAATCAACATGTGATTGAAGCACAGACTTTCAGCTTTAACTCAAAGGCTTTAACAAACATATTATACTGGCTGTTTAGGAATTACAGTCATTTTTTATGTACAGTTCCCCATTTTCAGAAGCTCAAAATGAATTGGACAGTTGACTCATAAGCAGGTTCGTGCCACACTGAGGCCTGTTTTCATGATAAATGTAGCACACGTAACACTGGAAGTTGTTTCAAACTGTTTAATTTGTAACTTTTGAAGTGGCCAAATCAAAAGTCTGTTACATTTCTAAAAAGAATGAATGCACTGGTTCTCTCAGCAACACCAACAGACCTGAAAGACCACAGAAGATGAAAGTGGATGATGACAGAATTATTTCCATGGTTAAGGAAAACAACTTTACAATATCTAATGTAAGAAGATTCTCTGGGAGGTAGAGGTGAAGTCTCTAAAAGAGCCTGCACAGTTCAGAAAAAAAAATATTAGACAGATGAAACAAAGTATAACTTCTACCAGAACGATGGCAAGAGAAATGTTAGTAGAAGGAGAGAAACAGTGTGTCAGGCATGAGGAGGTAATGTTATGATATGATAATATATGGCTTTCAGTGAAACCAGGTAACTAGTGGAGGTTTTTTTTTGATGAAGTGACTCCTGGTAGAAATAGCAGGATTAATACTGAAGCGTTCAAGGCTGTACACTCTGCTCAGATTCATCCAAATGCTGCAAAAACTGATTCGACAGCGCTTCATGGTGAAATAGATACTGGCTCAAAGCAACCCAAGAGTTTTTTAAAGAAAAGAAATGGGATATTTTTCAATGGTAACCCAATTACTTTTCAACCCTCTTAAATGGGGGGACGGTAAATGCAATACATTTGTTAAACCCCTTGAATGAAAGCTTTAAAAAATAAAATAAATAAAAATCTGACTTCAATCACATCTATATTGTTTGATTTAAAATCACCTGTGGTGGTGTATAGAGGCAAAACTCCAAAAAAAATGCATCTCTATCCAAAAACATACTGACTTAAGTATTAAGGCCACGTTTAACTACACTGAGCATTCAAAATGCTTTTGCATCCAAATTCATTCTCAAATTGGCATTAAATCGTGCACATAAGGCAACAGTATACTGCACCTACAATATTAACAGATTTGAACCCTGACTAACGTTTCAGCTGGGCAAGTAACACTGGTTTCAAAGTGCTGCTGGCTAAGATGGGGACTAGGGATCATCTTCAAAATGAAACACAGAAAAGAGATAGAACAAAAATACGCCCTACCTTCACTCTTACACATTTTTCCAAACCAAAATCACTTCATAAGTCAATCTCATCCTGTCGCCGATACCACAGCATTGCAGCTTCACCTTTAGTGTTTGGCGCTGGGCAGTTTTGTAGCTTTATCCGACTGCAGCTGTCTGCACCTGAAAATGACACACGGCTCATGATGTATGATATACAAGCATCTCCTTTTCACGTTGTAGCGTCAGCCGCGGGTGTCACGCTTGGATGGATTGAATATTTCAGATTTAAAAGGATTAAAAAAGCTTTTTTTTCCCCAGATCTTTATTTATTCAGGGATAGACTGCTCATTTGTCAGCATGCTCCTTCCCTGCTTCGCTTTCCTACATTTCAACTCAGTGATCCTTGGCATCTTTCCAGCTCAACAAGGTCTACTAAATTTGTGGGACATTGCTGCACTGACTCAAACTTGGCAGCAGGTTTTTGTAAGAAGCTTCTGAAAGAAAAAGGTGGAACCTGCTTCATTGCTGGGAGTATTAAACAAAGACAGCAGAGGGAAAATGCATATTTTTGCATTGTTTTAGGGAGTGATTTACTTTGTTTAGACTTCTTTTTTTCTTATTTACTGTAGAAAAGCTGTTTTTTGGGAGAAAAAGAGTAGGAAAATGAGCCCGGATCAAATGAGGGACGTGGATGTGTGCAAAATGTGAAGTTTCCAGGATATTAAACGGTGCAGAAATGAGTCAGACACATGACCGTTCTACACATCAGACGCCCGTCTGTCTCTTTGTTTCTCCTTTTGTGTCCTCTCCTTTCTTTTCGCAGTTGATGGTTTTGCCATTACAAACACACACACGCGCGCACACACGAATGCTCCCTCCCTGGAGAAATATTACTGTATCGTGAAATGCAGAGCAGAGAAGTGTCGTCCATGCGTGCATGCGTGTGTCTATGGAAAAGCTGAGCCTGTCATCTGGTAAAGAAATAATCTTTCAGGAATTATCCTCTCCCAGTTTTCTGTCCTCCCATTCTGCCTCTCAGCAGTTTTTAAACCTTGACTCGCTGTTTGTCTGAGGTTTGTTTATACATGTGTGATTCTGTACATGCAGCTGACTCCTATTGCAGTTAATAATACATAAATCATTGCCTCCTTATCCTTTGCTACTCATGTTCCTTTTTATTTCGCTATGCTAAGCTTCTTTTTTTTACCTGCAGAGTTTGGTGGAGAATGTTTTATCTTGTTTTTCATGTAAGCAAGTAATGAAGGAACTTTTTAGCATTTTCAGCTTGTAGTTGAGGCGATGTTTGCACTGTGTGATGATTTAACTATTAATACGTAAAGGTTAAAAATCTAATGAGACACCTTCACTGCTTTGACATAGCTTCAATGCTTATTTACTGACTTGCAGCTGTCAAAACCGTCCATACATTTTTAGCCGATGCATCCAGTAATTGAAGACTATAACCAACGGGAATTGATCTCCTCTCGATTTAACAACTGGAGAGCAACCCAGGTCGGTTCAGACGTTTGTGGTATAGATTTGTTGACACTGTGGGTGTGGATGGAGGGCATCTGTGTCTGCTGTGAAAGATGAAGCATGTGGACGTTGTAGAAGAAGTGGATAAAAGTATCCTCTTTTTCCTCCACTGAAATTACCAGGAATGCCTACAGTCTATTATTTAACCACAAGGCCACTGCTAATTGTTTCAGTGTGTGTGTGTGTGTGTGTGTGTCTTAAAACACCAGCGGTTGGGAAAAATGAACAACGTGACGTGTCCTGCTCTACTTGATATGGCACAGATGCTGCAACAGGCCTGAGTGGTGCGATTCTGTACTCCCGTGACCCAAGACCATGAGGAAATAACTAAACAGTTTCACTGGCATCAGACGAGCTCAGGAACAGAGGCATAACTAATTTGTTTAGTCCCAAAAAGCCTCTATTAGCATTTAAAGCCTTGCGTTTTTATATATTTCAATTATGTCACAACATAAGAATTAAACGTTTCTATATACAGCACTCTATGTTCCATTTACTGACAGATTCTTGTGCAAAAGCAACCAGTCCTTAAATGTAAAAATCCATGTGGGTGAAGGCATTTCCAGCAGAGCTCTCTTCTGCCAGGAATGCCTTGCTCTCACACTCACACCTGAAAGTTCCTCAGTATAACTGCAGGGTGATCTGTTTGACACTGAGCAGCTCCGCTAAAGCATCTGGGGCTCTTTCAATGTATCTGCCCAGATTTATCCTACTGACTCACTGATCCATCCAACAGCCTTCTGGGAGAACAGACACAGTTTAGTCCAGCGAGTTCAAAATAACACTTTTTGGGCTCGTCCTTTCATCTGAGAGAATATTTCACATTTAAAAAAAGGGGATCCTAGTGAAGGTGAAGTAACTGTTTAATTGTTTTTAAGTGTTTCAAGCCAAACAACTACTGGATTCCATTCCATGATTTAGTGTCCATATATTTATGGTCCCCAGAAGTCTTGGCTTATCCCTGGAAGGTCAAAGTTCACAGGTTCAACCGCATGAACTGTGCTGACTTTGGCAATCTCTTTGTTTGTCGTGAGCTTCACATCTGTGATTTTTAAGTGAAACAAACTCAGACTGGAATGGAATTTGGTGCAGACACTCATGTTCACAAAAGTAAGATTTCTGTCTTTCTTTCATTGTGCTCGTGTGCAAGCATCAACACTGGCACTGCATTTAGCTTCAGCTGGCATTTGCATTTGTTTATTAGGAATTTGGTGAAAATTTTACCTGCTGAGGGGAGATGTGAGCTTCTTGCAGTCTATTAAAATTCATGTCACGTGTTCTTTTCCGTATGGAAAAAAGAGCCCAAAGTGTGTAATACATATAAGACATATAAGGTTTAGTGGCCACAGAAGAACATCAGATCAAGAACATCTACCGGGCTGTTAAAAAATGAATTAGTGGTTAAA